CCGGCATCCACCACCAGCGCCTTCCGCAGCTCCGGGTAGTCCCGCTTGAAGTGGCTTCGTTCGCCGCATTTGTAGCACCGGCCACGCTTGTTGCCGCCGCTGCCTGATGCCACACTGCGCGCGTCGTCGTCGTCGTCGTGACCTCCACCTTGACGCCGTTCCCGCGCCCGCCACTGCGCCGCCGTGTACAGAAGCTGCCCATCTGCCTGCTCGCCGCTGCTCTGCCCGCGGCGCCGCACCCGCTCATCAAAAGCGCGCAGCCGCCCGAGCGCCTCGTCATACGTCAACTCCTCGAGGACGCAGAACTGCTCGATGCCGGCGACGACGGTGAACAGCCGGTCCGGCACCGTGTCCAGGAGCTTTTTCACCAGCTTCGTGTCCCCCAGCGTCTCGCCCAGGCCCGCGAACCGCGCGCCATGCCCGAAGCCTCCCGGCGTATGCGTCCAGGGACTCGCCGTCCTCCATCTTCAGCCGATCCAGCTCGCCGTGCAGCGTTGCCCTCCTCGCTGTGCAAACCCGCTCGGCGCCGACGAAACGCACCTTCACAGAGACCCATACCTCTCTGGCGGTGGGCTTCGTCGCCACCGAGAGCAGCACGTCCTCCGGCAGCCCCGACAGGATCAGTGCCCTCGCCGTCTTGCACTTCTTCCCGTTGACCGCCGCGTCGTTCGCCGGCGCCACCGCTTCCCACAGCGTGTGGGCATCAAGGATCGCCTGCGCCTTGATCGCCCACACGGTGTAGTTCTCCGGTGAGAGCATCGGCATGTTCATGGACACCGATCCGCCCGCGCCGCTGCTGCGGTGTGCAACCAGCGCCATGGACTCCGGTGAGCTCCTTCACCACGCTCCATACCAAATATTGTTGCAGAACCAGCTCAAGCACTCGACGAGGATCACCGGAGACACGATCGGCGAGGAGAAAGATAGACAGAGAGTTTTTCCGGGTGCTCGAACACCCCCGCCGCACGAACGGCCTCACTGTTTATCACCTCGAGCACGAACTCGAAATCCTCAGCGACTTATACAGGGGGAGAGGGTTTTTTACTCATGCGCACGGACATGCCCGAGCTGCTCCACGACTTGCCCACCTCCCACTCGCCACGCCCCGCACGCCCTGGCTCGCGCGCGCCCATCGCGCTCTGACGCGATCGCCGCGGCCAGTCCACGCGCCCTATGCGGCCCGCGCCCTGGTCCTACGCTAACAGTCCCGCGCACACACGCGCTAACTCACGCACGCACACACACCTATGCTTGGGCGCGCATGCACGCACCCAAGCCCGCTCCGGCTCGAGCCCGACACGGCCACCACGCGCACGCACCCACTCGCTATGCCCGAACCCTAGCCGAGGCTTATTCGCCCTACAAGCACGAGCACAGTGGCCGCCGGGCATCGGAGGCGGCATGGTAAGGCTTCTTTGACAGGTGCGGCTTCTTTGGGCGACGGTAAACAATCATCGCCTATTTTCGAGGCAGCAGAGACATCTTCATTGGCGTCGCTTTCTTTTTTTCGATAAAGGGCGATTTATTATCTCAAATGTAGCATCAAGCAGATACAAAGCATTATGGGTAACACCCGGCCTCTGCATAATAGGATGCACACGGCCCAATATGAAGGTCTGACAAAAAAAGATGAAAAAACCGACAAATCGGCAACAGTAGAGCCCTATAGACCGACACTATGCCTATGTCGAAGGAGGTGGTGGATTGATCCGAAGGTTATGTTGCCACCCATGTTGGGAAAAAACCTCCATAGCCACCTGCTCCAATCGCATACAGACCGCCTTGAACAACGCTTGGTCCTCCGGTCGTTGTAACATAGACCACATACGTAGCAATTGTGTACAACGGAAAATAACCTGTAGAGGAGAAGCATTTCTTCCATTAAAAACAAAATCATTTCTACATAGCCAAAGCGACCAAATTAAGGCATACGCTCCCACCCTTATTAGCGTTTTGAACCTATTTGAAATACCATCCAGCCAATGACCAAAAATATTGGCAACAGTTGTGGGCGGATACAAATTTGACGCTATTTGGATGACTGACCATGTAGAACACGCAAACTTGCATTGGAAAAGGAGGTGTTTGATTGTCTCGTCATGAGTACAAAAACAACACTTCTTACTCCCTTACCAGTTGCGTCGTGCGAGATTGTCTTTGGTTAACACGACCCCCCTACGAAGATACCACATGAAAATTTTCACTTTTAGTGGAATCTTGGACTTCCAAATTTTCTTGTTATTACTCACTGATACCTCAGAATGTGTGAGCGCATGATACATAGAGTCTACAGTGAAAGACCCTGATGTAGTAAGGTTCCAGTGAAACACATCCCGGCCTTGTGTCAGGTTAATTGAATCCAGTCGGGATAAAAGATTATGCCATGACACAAGTCGGGGGCCAATCAAATCCCGCCTGAACGAAATATTCGGCGGGAATGAACTGAGCACTTGCACAATAGTATTATTCTTATCGCGAACAATGTTGTATAAGGCTGGATATTGTTCTCGGAGACTGGCATTGCCTAGCCAGATGTCTTCCCAAAAACGAATCTCCGACCTATCCTTTATCGTGAAAGACCCAAAGCGAAAGAGATGTTTCTTTGCCGCCATTAGGCCAGCCCAAAAGTGCGAATCGCCAGGTTTCCAAAATGCCTGGGAAACCGACTTTTGACCTAGATACTTGTTGCGCAGCATGGTTTGCCAAACATCATCCTCAGTAAGAAGTTTGAACAACCATTTACTGAGTAGGGCCTCATTTTTGACCTGCAAGTCATGAATTCCAGCCCTCCTTGGTCTTTTGGCCTACAAACCACGCTCCATTTGGCCAGCCTGTATTTTTCCTTTTCACCGTCTCCTTGCCAAAAGAATCTGGATCTTAAATAATCCAGTCTTTTTAGGACCCCTTTTGGGAGTTGGAAGAAAGAAAGCATATAGAGAACCATATTTATGAGGACAGAGTTAATCAAAACCAACCGTCCTTCAACTGAGAGTAGTTTTCCTTTCCAACTACTCAACCGTTTCTCTAGACGCTCCTCTACATGCTTCCACTCCGCAATGGTGAGGCGTTGATAATGAATCGGTATTCCCAGATATTTAATTGGGAATTGGCCATGTGCGCAACCAAATAGGTCAGCATAATCGGCCGCCGCCTCAACGGCTTCTCCAAAGCAGAACAATTCGCTTTTATGGAAGTTTATTTTGAGACCTGACATTTGTTCAAATGCTGAAAGCAAGAGTTTCAGGTTTCGAGCCTTGTCCAGATCATGTTCCATAAAAAGAATTGTGTCATCGGCGTATTGTAAAATAGAGAGGCCACCATCCACAAGGTGTGGCACTACTCCTGCAATCTGTCCGTCTTGCTTGGCGAGCTCAATCAGAATCGCCAACATGTCAGCGACAATGTTAAATAACATTGGGGACATAGAGTCACCCTGCCGTAGTCCTTTTTTTGTCTGAAAGTAATGACCTACATCATCATTGAATTTGATGGCCACACTACCTCCAGTTACAAAATTGTGGATCCACTGGCGCCATTTATCGGAGAAACCTTTCATCCTTAGGGCCTGTTGAAGGAAAGACCACTTGACCTTGTCATATGCCTTTTCAAAGTCAATTTTGAATATCACTCCACTCATGTTTTTTCGGTGCATCTCGTGGACGGTCTCATGGCGTCGCTTTCTTGAGATGTGTCGCCGTTACCGCCGCCTTCTGGAGGTGCAGGTGCGTCGTCCTCATCGTTGCTTTCTGGAGCAGCGTCATCCATATCGTTGCTTTGTGACGGTGTGTCTTCGCCATTGTCGCTTGGTAGGTCAAGGGCGTCTTCTGTTGCGTCGATGAGGACGTACTCGAGGCAGATGGTTGCGAGCGCAGGCGCAGCGTCAATGACGCTCTGGAGAGAGCCGAGGTGCTGAGCGGCCGGCAACGGCGTGACGAGGAACAAGTGAACGGTAGGGCAGCGTAGCCGTTGATCGCCACTCACTTGTGGAATCGTAGCAGCCCATCTCCCAGTCGCGTGCCGCTTCACTGTAGATGTCAACTCGTTAAGAATCACTGTCCATTTATTCAGTTAGGCCGAACAGTTCTTCATGGTCCTAACAAGAAGGTCGTCGCCCTCCCTGTCCGCGCAGACTTCGAGCACATCATGGACCTAATCTCTACAGCCCAGCCTACCTCGGAGCGCCCTGATTTCGTTGGCTGCCTCACCCGTCTCTTTAAGGATATTGTGCTTGCTGTTGAGGAGAATGATGCGGTGCTTAGTGAGCTACGGGGTGAGGATGGTGTTGCCTATGCCATCATCGAACTGTAGGAGGAATGCAACTCGAGGGACACCCATGTAAACTGATTGAGTACTTTCCTTGATTGCATAC